GTACATACGTACGTATGTACTGTGTTTTCCCAAAAATAAGACCTCCCCGGATAATAAGCCCAATTGGGCTTTTGAATGCTAAAATAATCCCTCCCCCGAAAATAAGCCCTCCCCCAAAATATTGCAAAACAACAGTCATGAGGTTATTCACACTCGCTGCCTCCTGCACCTCAAAAATAATAAGACCTCCCCAAAAATAAGGCCAAGCGCTTATTTCGGGGGTCAAAAGAAAATAAGACCCTGTCTTATTTTCAAGGAAACACGGTATCAGGAACAGTGCATGAAATGGCAGGACAGAGAAAGAAATTTGGCGTATTAATGGTCACACAAGGAATATTACAACAGGCAAATAACTTTAAGATTTAGCAGTGAATCTGGTGGGGACAATGCAAAAATCTCCTCCAAAGAGAAGATAGCAATGCAAAAAGTGAGGCTACAGTAGTTAAGTGGCTTTTTTTAAGAATATGGAAAATAAAAGACGTGGGAGATGGCTCTTCCCTTTAGCCTCCTTTCATTTATATAAATCAGTTAATTAGCTCAGTAAAATGTTCTTTTACATTGCAGCCTTCATTTAACAGCTGTGCCATCATTGCATTGCAAACTTTTGCCCTAAATTTGTGTTTGAAACACTACAGAGCAACTAAGCAACAATAAGAATCTCTAATCTTTTCCTAGCTGTCACAAGATTGGGGGGGGAGAAGGGGATGAGATTATTTTTTGATAGTAACTAAGAACATTTTCCTGCATCATAAAAAACCACACACAGAAACTAACAGATCACAATACTTTTTCAAAAGGTCACTTATGTCAGGTTCTTAGCTAAAGAGTTGGGTTTTTTTTCCTGCCTATTGGCAAAGGTAACTTTCCTGTCTTTTGTTGAGATCATATTTAATTTAGTTTTTCTAAAAAGTTCTGCAGAGTTAAGGGGATTTCCAGCAGAGTGCAGAAGCCAAAAGAAGTGGTTAACAATGAGCAAGCTCTTTTATTTGAAAATGGGAAAGCAGAGAGTAAACCTTTCATCTATGTTAAGGCAGCAAATAGGATAATACTGGAGTAGGATAGAAAGGAATGGACATCCTTAAAGGCAGGGAAAACACTAGGCCCACTTTCTTTTCACAGGAATGAACCTTTTAAAAATATCATTCCAACAAAAGGACAAACATTTAATACCTTGGATTTTTTGCTCCTCTTCTCATCCTCATCGGTGTCGTCTGAATGGTAATGTTTCCTCTTTTTATCAGAGTGCTTGTGGCTAGTTTTGGCTTCTTCCTCTTCATTCTCCAGCACAAGATCGTATTTGGAGCTATGGATGTCAGTTAAGGAAAGTGTGACCAATAGTGCTGCCAGAGGGCGCTAAGAGGGAGAGAAAATTCATAAATATAGATATTGTATTGGAGCTGATTGTCCCATGAAGTGCAAGGAAATAATTTGGTAGTACCCCTCAGATATAAATGAATCAACTAGCAAACCATCCCTTTCAGTATTTCTTTGTAATAATTTTGCCAGACTTTGAAACACACACACTTTTGAATGGATTTTTTTTAAATCATCCAGTTCCTATGTGCGGCCATCAGAATTAATCCCAGATTTTCTGTTTTGTAACTGTTCTGAGACACAATTTGGTAGTTGCTGAGAGATGTCTACATGGTAGACTGATGGTAGCCCTCCACTTCACAGCTTTTGTAATCAATTGTCCTGTACGATCTAGCCAGAATGCAAAGTAACATTAGGTCTTTGAAAGATGGAACTGAGAGGATACACAAACTCCCAAATTCACAAGAAGGTTAAATTTAACCAGGAGGATCTATAGCAAATACATTCATCATGTGTAAACTTTTTTTTACAACTGTTAACACTTTGATTCTGGTCACGATTAAACACAGCTTATTTCCTACATAACAAAATTATCATAAAGCCTAAACAGGCATTTAATTGAGGTTTTCAGAGACACTTAAAAGAAGTAGTACTTGCCAGTGAACTCTTTTGATTTCCTAAATCCAACTTGGCACTTCACTAAATATTACATGTATGAAAGTTATATAATAAGAGTTTACATAATAGCCCTAAGAAAATAAGGTTTGAAATTAGATATGTGAATTCAAATCTATCCATTAATATAATATTCAATATAATATTAGATCTAGAGATATTTAGCAATCTCTATAAGTACTTTAATATTGGTGTATAACGAAGAAGCATATTCATCAGCTCTGAATAGTTTCATATGCATATTGAATGTTATATTTGTTATTGCTCTAGTTATTTTTCTACTTATTTGAATATCAAAGAGGTGTAGTGTTAAGGTGCTGGATTAGAAGCAGGGAGGAGATTTGAGTTCTGGTCTTTCCTTAGGCATGGAAGACAGCTGGGTGATTTTGGACCAGCCACACCCTCTCAGCCCTGGGCTGGGAAGTCAAGAAATTATTCTATCAACCCACTGATTTTAACCACTATGACACTTTATACAATAATATAATTGTTCAGGATACTCTTGCTTGGATTTTGCTTTCTCCTTCAGGCTTAATTTAGAAGTTTTGCTGTGGTCTTTTTCATATTCTTTGAAATCATCCTTTGTATATTTCCCACCTGTTTATAAAAAGAGAGATAAGCTGACATTAATTGTGAATACAGTATGGAAATAGCTGTTAACAATTGCTGTGCCAAATAAACTGATTTAGGGAGATCCTCATGAAATGGGCTGCAAATAGAAATGTTTCAGAAATAGTTAAGGCCTCTGGGAAGTGCCTGTCACGAGATCCCCTGCAGAAATCTAAACAAATACTTTGTGCTGCTTTGTGCTAATTTTTCTTATAATCAGATTAGAAATAGTCTGGCTCACAAAGGAAGCCTTCGCAAACAGTGCTCTTCAGCAAAAAAAATGATGCCAATTCTAATGGGCACATACACAATTTGATCAAATTCAAATAGTTTCAGCTACTGCCTTTCAGTCTACCAGCTACAGCATTAATCCTCTTAATACCGATACTTAATACTGATAAAGCTACAGTCAAACCTCAGTTCCCACATGCATTTATTAAGCAAACTTTTATTAAGCATTTTTTGTCTGCATAATTACAAAATTGAAAAACAGAATATGCACCTCTATAATTAGCTAATTGATGGTCAACAAATCTGTATCTGACAGTTTCACTGAAAACAAATTTCTGTGTTTCCCCCCCACCCTAAAAACAGATTTGAAAATGTCTATAAGAAATTTTTAATGAGGGAAATTAATAAAAATAATTTATACATCTTATTACCTTTTCCTTTCCATTTAACTTTTGCAACAGATTGGCTAAAATCAACATGTATTCGCCTATCATCTATTAAGACATTGTCCATCTTAAAGTAAGCTTTCTCGCAATCTTCTTCCTGGTATATGTTTCAAGAAAAAGTATAATTACATTTAGAACATTCATAACCACTTTTTGATGCCACCAGAAGTGGAAAACATGAATACCATAAAAAATTCTAACTGAATTAATGCTGCTTACCTAGCAGAGTCAGCTTAGAATGCACAATACCAATGCCATATTGTTAAGTAGAATCTGACTTTAATATAGCGTTAAGGCACTAGAAGTTTCGGTATTTTAGAAGCATTTTCAAAAATGGAATCACAGTTGCTTCTTCAGGGAACCAGTCTATGGCTGTGTTCACATGACAGACTTAGCTGCAAACTAGTCTACATTTTAAATTAGTGTGAACTTGGTCCATGAGATTAATTGTTAATGAGAAGTTGCCTCATGCCCTTTGGAACATTCTCCCCACAGAGGAAAGGTGGGGCTCCAGTCTCCTGGCTTTCCAAAAATATCTATCTCGCTTGGGATTCAAAGAGTTATGGGGCTGGTTAGTGCTCTTCCATCTGTCTTAATATGCTTGGAACTGAGACTTTCCAAATGTTATTTTTTTAAAATAAAGTTGTACCTAAAGCATTCGGTTTGGTAACAACACCGTTTATATTGTTAGACTATACAGCTAAACACCATATACATATGGCCACATACCTTCTCAAACTCAATGAAGGCATAGCAGAGAGATTCACCAGTTTTCCAATCTCGAATCACTTCACAACTGAAAAACCAGCACATTTTGTTCAGAAAACCATAGAGATACGGTTAATATGTGATAAGCAATGACAATATATATATGTCTGTGTGTTGCATTTGTGCTGATAAATAAATAAAGGGAGACTAGTATAGATCTATTTCAAGCTATTTAGTTCTCATCAGCTAGCCATACCCTTATTGGGATTCGAACTTGGGCTGTATTACATACTAGGCAGCTGTATTAGGCCACAGGTTCTCCTCCTTTATCAGCTATATATACATATGTACGTACGTACGTACATACATACATATATAAATAAGCCACGGAACACAGCTTTCACAGAGATCATTTTTGGAGGTCCTCGTAAGCCACTATGGTATCAGAAGTTGCAGTATGGATAATAAATTAAGAATGTGTGAGTTTAATAGAACTACAGGCAAAACTCTCATTTTTCACTTTCTATCCTATACGGCTACCTTTAGACCCATGGATGAGTTTCAGAGTTGGGCCAAGTTCTAATATAGTTGAGCTTGTTGATCAGAAAGGTCGGCAGTTCGGTGGTTCGAATTCCTAGTGCTGCGTAACGGAGTGAGCTCCTGTTACTTGCCCAAGCTTCTAACAACCTAGCAGTTCAAAAGCATGTAAAAATGCAAGGAGAAAAATAGGGACCACCTTAGTAGGAAAGTAAAAGTGTTCTGGGTGCCTTCAGCGTTTAATCATGCCAGCCACATGACCATGGAGACGGCTTTGGACAGTGCCGGCTCTTCAGCTTTGAAACGGAGATGAGCATCGCCCCCTAGAGTCGGAATGACTAGCACATATGTGCGAGGGGAACCTTTTACCGTTACTTTTAAGGATCACTACCTTCAGCTTCGACATACTAAGCACTACAATAAGCTTTAAAAGTATATTCAGGTTAGCCCTCACACTGAATTAGAGAATTGCACTTTCTAACATAACATTGATTTAAGATACAGAAAAGCCATGTAAAAAAACTAAAGAGAACAGACAGACATATATTACATTACAATACAGAAGGAAAAAGTGCTGGAACTGTCTACAGTGATTGTTTTTCTAAAACTTAATAAATGGCATTGTAAGACTAAAGATTCAAGCAACCATATTTGATAATTCAAATTCAAATAGCAGGGAAAAGATCTGTCTCCTTCCTGGTGTATAATACAGGTAGTCCTCAACTTACAACAGTTTGTTAAGGGACCGTTCAAAGTTACAATGGCGCTGAAGAGTGATTTATGACCATTTTTCACATTTATGACCGTTGCAGCATTCCCTGTGATCATGTGATCAAAATTTGGATGCTTGACAACTGACTCATATTTACGACAGTTGCGGAATCCTGGGGTCAAGTGATCCCCTTTTGTAACCTTCTGACAAGCAAAGTCAATGGGGGAATCCAGATTCAATTAACCACCATATTACTAATTGAATAACTGCAGTGATTCGCTTAACAAATGTGGTAAGAAAAGTCATAAATCACTTAACAACATAAATTTTGGGCTCTATTATGGTTGTAAATTGAGGACTACTTGTATTATGAGTCAAAGACTCAAAATCCTTTCCCTAAGACACACATAAATATATTGATTTGAAATCGAAAACAGTTCCCCTGCTGAACTTCTATTCATCTTTTTAAAGTCTGCTAAAGAGAACTTTGTGAGATTTCCACTTAGGAAAAACCATTTTCAGTTTAGGCAGTCACTAAAGGTCTGAAAAGTATTTCTGTCAATAAAAGGCACTCATTGATATCAATATAAAGTCTCTTGCTAGGCCACTGGGGCTAAAAAAGTCTCCTTGTGCATTTTTCACGAGCAAGAACTACATTTTGCACTTTTAATAAAGGTCTGCTAATGTAGTCTTTGAAAATGTTTTGAAAATGTTACCTTTTTATCAGACCAAATCGGGAAAATATGATTTCAAGATCTTCATCGGTTGTCACAGGATTAAGTTTGCAGACAAAAAGAACATTTTCAGGTGGTTTGATATTTGCATCAGGTAAGTCTCCAACCTGATGAACAAGGCAAGACAGATTACGTTATTCCAACACTCCTACAATTTACACTTATGGATACCCATATCGAAACAACTGCATTGTGAGAATGTGTACAATGTGAATATGCTATTCAAGTTTATTCTGAAGCCTTCAGAATAGAAAAGGCAGACCTTTCAGTTCAATGTTCTCTCTCTGATGAGATTCTTTAAAAAAAAAATGATAGTTTTCTTAAAAACAATATGCTTCTGAGCTATAACTAAACTTGTGAACAAGGCAAAATCCATTCATCTCTTTTTTCATGTTTGTGACTTCTAAGATTTTACAAAGATTAAGGACTGCTTTATAAGCAATAATTGTGGTGTCAAATTGAAACCTGGCTTACCAATGCATCATATGTTTACTTTCATGGACCATCACAGGAAAAAACAATCAATAAAGAAATTTATCATTTTAAATGCTTTTTAATATAGTTGATTCATATATTTTAAAATATCAAGATTACAGTAGATGATATTACATAATTCTTATTCATGTCTTGCAATGAGTAGGGATTACTAAAGTTGTAACGGTAAAAATATTAAAATATACATTGTTCTGGCATGCTGGGTGATCTTACATAAAATATGTTCCACATATTTGTCACACTAGAGGGAAAGAGGGATGGAGGAAATAATGACCAAGTTCTGGGATTTGCCATCAGCCTTTCCCTCAGTTTGGAAAAATAGCAGTTGGAATTTAGTTTATGACTTCTGTCCTCCCAGGACTGAGATGGCAAACCTATGGCACGCATAGGTCTGCGGGCACGCGAACCGTTGCCCAGCTCAGCTCCACTGCATATGCATGTGTGCCTCCTGCTGGCAAGCTGATTTTCGAGCCCCTGCAGTGCATGCAGGAGATGTGTGAGCATGCACGGGGAGGCAGGTATGCGTGTGTTTACGTATGCACAGGGGGCAGGGGGTCACACGTGTATGTGTAGGGGGGAATGTGGGGGGGGAGCATGAGGGTGGTCATGCACATGTGTGTGGTGCATTGCATTTTGAGTGGGGCGGCGCGTACCCTGTCGCATGGGCGGGTGCGATTTCAGCACGTGAGGACAAAAAGGTTAGCCATCTCTGTCCTAGGTGGAACCTAGTTGCTGACCACAAGTCAGATAAATTTGTACTACATTTTATAAATGTTTACATGAGTTTAGTACAATAGCTTTAAAACTGTAATATAAGCACTGATGCACATTTAGTCTGCATTCAAGTTCTTTAACATAAGAGTGATTCTGCATATGGATTGCTTTAATCAAATGTTATATAGTATTTTAAATCCTTTAGATTTCTCTATAAAACAAGTTTAAATTTAAGAGGCAAAATTTGTCAAAGAACACAGAGCATACCAGATTTAATGTGGCAATCATTTGGTATGTGGTATCATTTCTATTTATATAAAACTAACCATCTGCATATCTACAGCTTAATAATCAGATCAAGTACACTGTTTTTACCATTTCCAAGAGAATAGCCTGTGTTTTTGCTTCTTTCTCTGCCATAATTTCTTCCACTTCATCGGTGGATCTTCCTTTGAAGTCATCAATTTCTTCATCAGCACCTATTCTCCCACTCTGTCTTATATAAAAACAGAGACAGATATTTAATACAATTTAGAATGAATACTTCATCTTTTTAGAACACCCTGCAGCAGCTACCTGAAACCTCATCACACTTATCCTGCACTGGCTCTCCCACATCTTGCAGCAGCTAGTTACCTGCCCACCCGCGTCCTTGTGAGCCACCTGGGACCTCCAAGTTTCTGCCATTTTTTCCACTAACTTTGCTTGTGGAAACAAGCAGGAAATTGCAATGAGGTCCTTGCCTAACAACGCACGATTCTTGCTTAATGACAGCAATGGGAAGTGCTGGGACTGCTGTCACTAAGTGATGTAGTGATGTGACATCACACATTACAATTGCATTACTTAGCAATGGAAATTCCAGTTATCATTGTTCACCAAGTATTGAGGTTGCACTTCTACAGAATGCAATTACAGAATTTCATTCACTCTTCCCTTTTCCTTACCACCCTTTCTTATCACCTGATGATAAGGGGATAATTTTGTTCACCACCCAGAGTCACTTGGTGAGATGGACAAGTACACAAATTTAATAAATTTTAAAAATAAAATTAATGTGCATCCCTGTATCAATGCCATATAACCTTGGGAAGCATAATTGTGGACCTTACCGCTAATAATACTTTGATAATGTTTAGCACACTTTCTGGTTCCCCATAGAAGACATAATGATGAGAGATCAGCGGTCAGTAAAGGAATGTGCCTTCTCGGCAGGCAAGTGCATGAATTATAATTCTAATGTTATTCATTATTTTGCAGGCATAATGGTGTGCAGTCAAATATTCCCCCAAAAACTAGTATATACTTAGAAAAGAATACTTGCAACTGTTGTGTTTGATGTTTTTCCTATCTTGAAGCTGAAACTATAATGCTATTGAAACGGAAGAACCTGTATTATTGCCAGTGAAAAGGATACAGGTTCAAAACACAATTCCTTTTATTGAACAACATATCTCCAAACTAAAGCTTTTTTTTCCCAAGTCAAACTTGACTCTGGGCCTCTGTGAGAACATAACCACAAAGTTCTATACATCTGCAAAATCAGCTGATACATTAGAATATAAACATATTTCTTGATCTACTCCACACTCAAGTTAAAAGCAATACTCACATCCAATTGTTCTTTTGTAGGTTCTGGTGAACGGTCTGGTATTGCCAAACCAGAAGGATCATCAAATGGATCATCTAAGATCACTGTGTGGTTTATCCTAAATAAAAAACATTCAGTTAGAGTAAGTTCAAGATTCCGTTTCACAATAATTTTGAATATTAATTCACTGCTGCATCAAAAAAACACCTACACAACAAAACTCATTTATCTGAAAACAAAATCTATGTTAAACTTAGTTTTACACTGACAGAGGATACATGTGTTATTATAAAATTCAGAATTATTACACACTTAACTGAAAGCCTTCATCTGGTTTATGCTGAAAGGAATTTAACAATTGCCCTCCAATACCAACAATTGCCCTCCAATTGGAAGGCAATTGAATTGCCTTCCAATTATATAAAGTTTAGTTCATATACCGGTAATTGTTCTCATCTACTATCAAATATAGCTCAGAACTAATGTTATACATGAAAAGTATGACAGCAAAAGTTTTAGGGGAGACTAAAAAAACCCTCTTTTACTTCATTGCACATAATTCATTTACGTAATTTACAAATGGTGACTTGCTTAAGGAGTTTTGAAGTCATAGCAAACACATCTACCAGAGCTTTAGTGGTGATAGCACAACAGTAGTGAAAAACTACAGCTACTTTTGATTTGGGTTTCAGAAGTCTCTGATATATACAACTTGCTGGTTTTTGTTTAATCCAGCAGAATTTTATCAAGTGTAGAAATAAAATAGTGAAACCTGATGTCTTGATATGGAACAAAATCCTTGTCGACAAAGGACTCATTAATTTTCATCAATATATCCATGCCTTCTGTTACTTCACCAAACACTGTATGCACACCATTCAGATAATCTAAGTTTTCTCCTGTAGTAATAAGAAACTAAAAAAAAATCAAGAAAAATAATGAATTGGAGTTGACAAAGTAATGAAAATCTTTATCTACCCATTTCAGTCTATTGATACATTAGCTGATTTTGGTCTCATTCACCAGAAAATCTTCTGATATCACCACCTTTCTGTGATTTTAGGTACTGAAGAAGGTTTGATATTGTGATGATTTCAGTCTTTCCTGGAGGTTATTTCTGAGGATAGTGTAGCAGATGATTGATTGTTCTCTACAGGAGTGTTATTAGAGCTCCTCCAGGTTAAGCCTAGGTTATTTAACTTGTCATAGCCAACCATGTTGAGATCTCGTTCCACTAAGGTTTTCAGCAAACCCAGAAAACAATGTCATCTTATGACAAATCTACCATCAATGTCACTGAAATGGTTGAATAAACTGAAGTTCAGTTTGGATGACATCAAAAGACTTCACCCAATAGGCGCATTCACCCATTAGTGTGAATTCACCCAATAGTGGAATAGAGGAGGAGTGGTCCATCTGCCAGAAGAACAAATTATTTCTCTCAGCTCTTCTTCCATAATGTTTAAATTTATTTCAGAAAGTGGGAGATTTTTTCAGAGAAATCAAGCAGAAGAAGAGAAGGATGGAAATAAAGTTATGAAAAATCTGTGTGAATGGAATTCTACCTGAATCATGTTAGGTCTGGTTCAAGGCTGATGACCAAATTTCTTGCTTTAAGTGAGATCAATTATGCCTCCTCTATCAGTCAAAATTGTTTTTACACCTAATTCCATGTTTATGAACAATCTTGTTTGGTAACTGCCCAATTAAAATACGAAACATCTGGTATGCTAGTACTGCAGAAGGAACAGATTTTTTAAATGTAAGCTCCCCCCCCCCTCTTTTTCGGTTTTTTAAAATAATGTCACATCTGTGCTCTGTAGTACTTTGCAATTTCCATATGTCCTAATATGTTGACATGACTTTTCCAGATCTGTGGACATACCTGAGATCCATGCTGATCACTCCCATTGTTTACCATTGACACAGTTCCCTTTTTCTTGTGTTTAATTCTTGGCACTTTCTCTGCTTCAAAAAATCTAGCTTGATCACCATACAATTTGCTGAAACATGTACAAACAAATTATCAATCGGAATAAATTGCATAACTTTTAAAAACTATCCACGTGTGAGAGGGAAAAAAACTGCAGCACAGTGCATGGAGAAGTACAAATTGACAGTTCTATTCATGATTCAGTTAATTTCAGAATCAGTTATATAACTGAGACTACATATTTGTTTCTTTATTTTTTCATATCAACCCAATCATATGACTCTTGGTAGTATCCCAAAAAACTTTAAAAATCTTCATGGTAATATACTGCATTAATCTAAAAGTAATACAGAGTAATACCCTATACACATACAATTGCATTATTAGTCTTCACATACATACACCCACACCCATCTTAAGTTGCTTCTGAAATGTCAACTGTGCTGGAGCAAAAGTAATTTCCAGAGAAAGATTCTTCTATAACACTGACTACTGCATAACTGAGGCAATTCCTTATCCCCAAGACTTAGCAATAGCTTAGCAATGGCATTTAGACTTATATACTACTTCATAATGCTTTTCAGTCCTATCTAAGTGGTTTATAGAGTCACCATATTGCCCCAACAATCTGGCTCCTCATTTTACTGACCTCAGAAGGATGGAAGGTTGAGTCAACCAGGATTGAACTGCTGGCAGTGAGAGGTGAATTATCCTGCAACACTGCATTCTAACCACTGTGCCACCACAGCTCTTCAAGGAAATGAAGAACCACTAAATTATTTTCCCTCAGATGTTCATATTAGATGCTCATATTAAGCCATTCTAAGTAAAAGCTGTCCTTGGTACCAAACCATTTAAGATTTTTAAGCTTAAAGCCATCATTTAAAATTTTTCCTGCATCATATATTGACCAAAGTGAATGCTCAACTGCATGAAGACTTTCACTATCAAAGTTTACAATTTATTCTTGTTCCAACTATAATTATCCAATAGGTAATCTAAATGAATGCCTATGCAATAAATAGTAAAATTGCTGCATCCAAAAAGTTTTATAGACAACTATTTAAATCAAAACTAAACAATGTTTACCAAAATATGGATTCACCTCCACGACCAGTCCCCAGTGGGTCTCCAGTTTGTATGATAAAATCTCTCTGAAACAATGTGGAACACATGCAACTTATTATTTATCATTTAAAAAATCCTGTTATTAAGAATATTCTGTATGCCAATAATTATATAAGGCAGTCTATGCTATCATTTCTGTTTTACAACTGAAGAAAGGAATTTAAACATACACATGTGGAAGTCATTTAGCATATGTATCTCTTAGATTTAAATTCTATATCCACTATGTATAACTCACAATTAAATTATTGTCTAATATATGAGGGAAAAACAATGGAAAAAAATAAGATATGCTTACTTGTACATTATGTATAAGGCAGTAATTGTAATATTTGGTCTTGCAAAGCTTCAGGAAATTTAGACAAGCTAGAAGGAATAAAGATAAGACAACTGAAACAGGCTACAGCCTTTGCCTAATAAAAGAAACAAGCTATTTGAATTTCATGCAAATTCAATAAACAATGCCCAGCAACAATCCCCAGGAAGTTGCATGAAACAAATGGCATGCCATGAATAAATGGTCAGATTAAAATGACAGAGAAATATTATCTATTGTTTTTATCAAATACTATAGAAAAAGAATATTGAAAAAAGCAGGACCTATTTTCAAGTCAGCAGTCCATTTTTTTAAAAAATGTGGACCATAAACCAGCAATGCATGTCATAATCTTTGAAGTACATCTATGTTAATGTGCAGAGTGCCTTCTGTTCATATTAAGAAATCACTGTTTGTTCTAATACATGGGTGCCCAAACTTTTGGTTTGCCTCGGTTGCAATGAATGAAGAGGAATCGTCTAGGCAATATAAAATAGATAATTAATGTATATAAATCACACAATGTTAAAAATGTATGACCTTCGGGGCCACATGCTGGACACTCCCTGTTCTAATATTACCTGAATTACAGTGTCATCAATGCATACTGTGCTTTACAAAGTGAGAAAAAGCAAGCTCTTGTCCTAATTAATTCCCAAGCAAAGTTCAATACGGTAAGAGGTACAAAGGAAGGTTAAAAAAATGGCAATGCAGTGACAAACAGTATAAAATATATAGTAATTGAGTTACACAAGGACAGGATGTGCAAGAGTGGACTATCCATTGATGCAACATTTGGAGACACGGAAGCTTGTTAGAAAGCATGGAGGCAGTGAGTTCTAGTCCTTTTTATACAGATTTTGTTTCTATGCTTTAATAACACCCTGATGCATAAGAAGTTTAAATCTGAAGCTTTTCCTGCTATTTATGGGGTAAGGAAGGGTCCTTTAGCGTAATGGGAATCAAGCTGCTATGAAAGTCAAATAGGAGTTTCAGTGGAAATTGGGCATAAAAAGTTCTGCTTTGCACCTCAGAAAAGAAACTGAAAACCCCATTAATCAAGTTCATAAAGCCATGTTGGAAATTGAGAATTAGTGGTGTTTTATTGATAAACCAGTTAAAGCAAGACAGAGGAGGAATCCCATGCGCTCATGGTATGTAGTTGTCCTCCCCTCCCAACCAATGCTTTTTCTTCAATTTCAGATAAAATACAAGTCCGGAATACTGATAAACTGTCAAAAACGGGATGCCATTTATAATCTTCAAAGTAAATATTGTATAAAGTTATTAAAGAAATGGAGCCTCCCCAAGATTTTAAAAAAATCTAAAAGAGCTTTTTTACAATCCGTCCAGGTTCTCCCTGGAAAAAACAATAGAGATCTTTGGATCCCATGTGAAAAAAACTAGTATTAATTTCAATCTACCGCCCATCCCCTAGCCCCACCTCCTGAGACCACCACGATCTCTAGGACCTTCCCAATCTGCATTTTGGGCTGCTGCAGATTCCGAGGCATCCCCAAAAACTGTACCCCCCCCCCTTCACAATGCGCAAATGTTGTGCCAGCTTATCCAACCAAGCTCGGCAAAACCCTGCTGGAGAAGTATCACTAAACCGGAATTTTTCTGCAGTTGCCCAGAGGTTTCTGGACCGGCATTTGTCCCAGGCGGCACACGCTGCAATGCCGCTACCTCTCGGTCTCTCCTCCGTGTATAAATCGATCACTAGATCTCCCAGCGTGGTCTCCAGTAGAACAGCCATGGCGCCTTCTCCAGCAGCCTTTCCGATCTTTCCGCCACGGTTTCTTGCTCCTCCGCGATCCCGGCGTGCCTTGCGCTCCTCCCCTTCCTTTGACAGCGGTAAAGCAAACGGCGGTCTTTTCCAAGGCTCGGTGACCGTAGACTTACGATATTTAGAGTCGCCCTTCAAAAATAAGTGAGTTGGGCACCTCGGAGGCCGGAAGTGAGCGTGATTCGGAGAAGACAGGATTTTTTTTTTTTTTTAACTGATGAACTTTGGCAGCGACAGCGCTACCCCAGGTCCGGCTGTGGGAAGGCAGCTGGCTTCGAGCCAGCTGGTTTCCAGACGAGTCCACTTTCTAATTTGCATGCCTAGGTACTGTAATTGCTATAGGTACAAGATACCCATATTTTAAAAGTTTCTTTTATCTTGCCTTTATTATTTTTATAAATAATTCAAGGTTGCAAATATACCTAATACACCTTCCTCCTCCTATTTTTGACACCACAGTTACCCTGTGCGGTGAGTTGGGCTGAGAGACAAAGAGAGAGGGAAAGAGGAAGAGAGAAAAGAATCACCCAGCTAGCTTTCGTGTCTAAGAAGATGGGACTAGAACTCAACAGTCTCCTAGTTTCTAGCCTTGTGCCTTAAATACTCTACTAACTAGGCTATTTGGCAGTTTGACCAAACAAACATCTCAAGATTTACTTGCTTGCTTGGATGCTACCTTGATTGTCAGTTGTACTTTTACCAGGAAGGCCGGTAAACTTCCTCTGTCTGGAATTTCTGAGGATCAGCTTGTTTTGCAATTCCGAAGACAGCTGACTTCAGAAATCCTCTTTTCTTCCAAACAATTGGCTTTCTGTGTCAATTAATACAGAATTTTTTGTGGGCTTTTTAAAGGCTGTAGAGGTTGACTTTTTGCATAGATAAACCTAAGAAACTGCTTAGAAAGAATATGTTGAAGTTGTACTATAATATTCTTTACTGAGAACATAGTTTTCTTTCATGTACAAAGTTCTCAAACAAGCAAACAAGAAAACAAAATAGGTTGAAATTAGGTATGCCTTGAGAGCCTTGATTAACCTCTTGATTTAGTGATTATGAAAACTGGTTCAGAATTAATGTTTTACTCAAGATACTTAGATCCATATTTAAGAAAATAGCCTAACTTTGAGTCACTAAGGATAAACAAATAAAAGGCATTATGCTGCCTTTCAAATCCTAGTAGTAGAATGTTGATCTTTTTTATACATTATTTTCTTCCTCTGGATCAATTTCATTCTTTATAGTCTTTTGGTTATTCTTTTTATTAACTCCCTTTAATTCCCTTAAATTGGGAGGTCTCTAAAAGTTCATTAATTTTCATAATTCTAGAGATGTTTAAAAAATATGGTTTAAATATTCATTTACCAATATTCATTTGGTATGTCATAGTATTATCTCTTTATAAAACCAACAAACAAAAATCCAGAGTTTGAGTAGCAGTAGCACAATTCCCACCAGCAAGAAGAAAGGCTTAGTATGTTATGCAAAGCCAACCATTTATGGTTTATTGAATAAGCCATGATTAAACCAGTGTCCTCTTATATGTATCATACATTAAAGTAATTAATTAAAGTACATTCCTCTCTTGGAGAGTCTAGAAGCTTCCATATATTGTGTCGGACCAATCTCCCATTTATTCAGTAATGACTCAGTGACTTCAAGGATTGAGATTTTTTTTAATAGCCCACAAATCATTTCAGATGCTTGGAAATGAACATGAGACTCTCAACATCAACCCTAGGAAATCTTCTCCCGATTACTGAATTAAAGGTTAGCAGTAGATGTGAAAGGCAATTCATCTCTCAAGAGGATGCAATTCATCTCTTCCTCCTATCTCATGTTTCCTCTTGAGCTGCCAGATAAACAGAGGGCTTGGCTTACCTCTGTCCCTCATGAGATTTAATTACCTCTGAGGGAGAGAAATATACATGGATGCTCTGCCAGTTTATTTGCAAATTGCTGCTGTCTACAGTCCTCCCTTGTTAGTGTCCCAGCCATCTTGCAATGGCCAATCTGATTTAAAAAAACCTAAACAAAACCACATGTGTACTGTATATAATATGAGGTTGGCGTCACTACACAAAATGGGTAGGTTAAGGTTTTTATGAGCCCCTATACAATATTTTGAACGAAACATATAAAACAAAACTGCAACTGAATGGAAACAGGAGGGAGCATGCTAATAATTACTTTATGCTAAACAAGATCTTGAGTTTCAAGAATTTTTTATCAGGATTAAAGAAAAAGGATTTTTAAAAAGTGTGTGTGTGGGGGGGGGAATCTGGTGAGGCTCAATTGCAGTTGGGGACCAAACAGTGCTGAATTCTTGGGAAAGTTGTAAAACCTTTGGGATAACCATGACCTGGATGACTGAAAATCTCCATAGGAAGCTGTAAAAGTATAGTACTATTTTGTCAATCATGGATTGGCCTTAATACGAATTTTATTTTTATTTTTTTAATTACCACCAAGTTTTAGTTTAGTCCCTCTTACAAAGCACTGAAGAGCAGCTTCAGGAGCTGCCCGGGAACTGTCACTGGTTCATCGCCTCCAACTAAATGAAAGGGGTCTTATTGTGACGCGCTCTGCCAATCCCTGTTGTAAGTTCCGAAAGCTTTTGCATTTGGTCGGAGCGGGGCTGGAATGCGGGGGACGCTCTCCCTCCCGCCTTAATTTCCTTGTCTTCAACTCTTCAGAGGCGTTCACCGAAGGGAAATCACTGCTATGCCGCCTTTTCCGTGCCCCGACCCTGGAAGCGCCTCGTCTGCGCTCGACATCTCGGCTTGTATTGCATCCTTCCCGGCTATTTCCTCCTCCTGGGCCCGCCGGACTCCTCCCAACTTCTGCTCGGCGCGTCGCCGCCTCTTGCTTTGTTGATGTTTCACTTAATTTTAATGCGCAGTTCCCAAGATGGAGGCAGCGCTGGGGCCGCGCGAGTTGCTCGGGCTGGTGGCAGGGCTCCTGCTGCTGCCTCCAAGCCTTTTCGCCCTGAATCCGACAGCCGCCTTCTCCCGGATGGTAAGCCAGGTAGGCAAGGAAAAGTTTCCTGGGAAGCTTCGGCTTCTGGCCCCGAAAACGTGTGTGTGTGTGTGTGTGTGTTTGTTTGTTTGTTTGTTTGTTTGTTTGTTGTAGGGCAAGGGGAGAAGAGAAAAGATCGGGTCTCCCTTCAAAGCCCTAAGTGGGGAACGTGAAGATGTGATTCGGCACCCGGCTTTGTATGAGTATCGGTCATGGTGGTTTAGAAGAAAGATCTACTAAAGTAGGGACACGCGACGTTGCCATGCTGGTGGCTTGTCTGCCAAGTCTATTTGCAAAACTGAGTTCTGTTGTATGTATCGGGATAACAGGCTAAGTTTTGGGCAGTTTGCATGTGGAAATTCTTCTTTTCCCGACTGTTTGGAAGGAACGATTTGTGAGTTAATAGTTTTACAAAAAGGTGTGATCCAGGCCTTGTGTATCTCTCTGTGTGTGTCTTGAATACAATACCCAGCATCTTGTCCTTTTAGATAGATAACTTGCTACCATATTAGATTTTAATCTTTGTAGTAATGCAATTTGTACTTCCCGTAATAAGCCTGCTTTTTATAGAAAGAACAGTATGTTCTAAGGAAGCCTGTTTCTGTATTTATGTCCTTGTCAAACATGAATTAAATATTTCAGGCATCATGATGCATTTGTTACTCTATTACCATGGCTAAAGCAGTCATCTGCTATATTTGTCTTAGTTTGAGGTTTAAACATCACAGTAGTGATTTGAGACATTTCCAAATATTGGATGTGGTTAACTGCCATGATAATGTTAATTGATTAAAGAGCCCACAAACTCTTATTGCACACATAAAACAATTAAATTTGTTTAATTTTACTTCTGGTTTACCATGGAGTACTTAAATAAGAAAGAATTGATTTTATGGAGAGCTGTCAGAACAAAGATTGCAGGTCTATATTTACTTAGCTGAGCTGGACCTTGCTCATTAGCCCTACTTTCATATCTGTAGGTTGTTTTTCAAATCCAAGCCATATGGGAGGTCCTCTGTATTTTACAGCAGGGGGAGAAATATGAATTTGAGGATCATTCTTGAAAAGCAGAGAACCTCCCTACATCCTTAGTCCTGACCCAGTTCTTTGCCCGGGGTGATTCTCTTCACTACAGAGAAGATGAGAAAGATGATAATTACATGCAAAAAAGATGATTATATGCAAGAAATGAAATAGTCCATGTTGGGATTCTTCTGCCTCCCTCCCTCCCCTCCCTTTCAACCCCAGAGAATGAAGATGTAGAAAGCACTCAACATAGAAATAGAGTATGCTGAAGGAAGACAAATGAAAAACTGATTCCAGACTGTTGCCATGAAAACTACATGGATGTGTTTTGAAGGCATCAGGAGTCAAGGTCAATGCTGAAGGGTTTTCCTTCACTCCTTCACTCAGCCAACAAACAAAAAACCTTCGTTGTAAACAAAATATGTAAATACACTAGTCTTTAAAATATACTATTCATTGGTGTAAATAAAGAGATAGCAACTTTATCTCAGTCTTCAAAGGTGGCAGCATCTGTTGGCAGGCTTGGTCCTGGTTAGTACTTGGATGGGAAATGTCCAGGAAATACCAGAATTTTAGAATAGATTGGGACAATCAAAAAATATGCTAAAGGAAGACAATGAAAACCTCTTTCAGATTGTTGCCAAGAAAATGACATGGATATGTTCTGAAGGCATCAAGAGACAAGCTCTTGCTGAAGGATTTCCATACTTCCATTTCTTCCAATGTATTTGGTTCTTTTCCTTATTGTTTTACTCAAGTTTATTCTTCTAAGCAGGTAGTATATCCAAAGATTTGAGAAGTGGTGGAAAAATAGTCTCCCTTAAAAGACTGACAGCAAATTCTCTCTCCACATCTACCGTATCATACCTTCTTGGCATTGTATTCATTTCATACCTGAGTTATTCATTTTGTAGCAAATGAGAATTAGATGTCTTGTTTCAGTCAGAGGAGGATGCTTCTGCTAATTTGCCTTTCCCAAATGGGAAGGCTCCAAATATCTGATTGATTAGTTTGCTCACAAAACCTCCTGGTATAATTTCTTTTCAGAAGGCAATTATTTTTAGAACAGAACTTCAACCAGTTGTTAATAGGACAAGTTAAAATATGAAAAGATAAAAAAAATCTGTGCCGTAAATTGGTTCATGCAATTTTCATGCAAGTCCACTGTTGCACAATTTCTGTGTCTTTCCAAATATTTACGCAATATCAACTTTCTCCCCTCTCTGATTTTTCTAAGATGAAATGTGCTTCACAGCTGCCACATCTTCTTTGTTCTGTTGAAATGAGTTGGTAATTTTTTTCCTTTGAGTCAGAGAAATCACAGTGTAATCAAATAATAATCAGAAAATCCCAGAGAGTTTTGAAATAAAAGATGATTAAATGCACTAAGGAAATACTTCCACTGAGTCATACAATATATATAGTATATTTGGCAACACAAGGAATGTGGGGAAGCCACAAGGGAGAAGAGGTTAATTAGTCCTTGTTCCATAACTATAATGTGTAAAAAAGAAGATAATGTGGTATTTACTGATTAAGGCAAGAAACTTTCAGATCCAAATTAATTTCTTTGATGCTTATGTTTTGTCTCGTGTATACTGTAGGCTTTTTAAAATTCTCTGAGAGAAATGTGTTTAAATTAATAAGATTGCAAACTGAAATTTTAATATTGTAACTACCTATTTAACAAGCAAGATTATGTTGCCATAATACATGCAGCCGTTTTACAAGTATTCTTCATGTTAGAAATTACTTATAATGTTTATTTTCCTACCAAATAAAGCTGAGTAGAAAAATATATATGTATAAGCTAGAAAATGTAGATTAAATTGCTCCTTTAAATTTGATTTTTAAGAATGAAAAACTAAATGTATCAGTGTGAATTATGAAGCAATATGCACAACCCTTCTTAAAAATAGATACATTGATGTGAGGAAGAGTTTGGTCTAGTGGTTAAGGTATCACACTAGAAACCAGGTGACATGGGGTTCTAGTCTGTCTCTAGGCACAAAGCCAGCTGGGTGATCTTGAGCCAGTTACTTTCTCTCAGTCCTAAGAGGCAATGCCAAACCAGTTTTGAAAAACCATGTCAAGAGAACTGCAGGGATTTGTTCAGGCAGTCTCCAAGAATAAAACACAACTGAATGGAAAAAGAAAAAAGGGGAAAAAAGAATGTCTTCTTTTATGGTTTGGTCCCACTAGTAAAAGCATAGCCTGACTGGAGCTCTGCTCCGGATATTACCCTTGGTTAGTGTTAGGGTTAGAGCTTGTACTATGGCTGGTTGCCCTTTCTCTTCCCAACTTCTACTATCTTCTTTCATAGCTTTATCTTCAAAATACTACTTTATTTTCCTTGGAATGACAATTCAGATGGTCCCATGACTCAGCACACACACACACACACACACACACATACTAGTGGGCTCAAGTATTTCTCTTTAAAAGGTGATGATCAAAAATCATGTATGTAAAATGTAGCAGGTTGGTTGGGGATGGTCTGAATCATCGTAGTGAAAGCGGAGGAGAAAATCCNACTGCAACTGAATGGAAACAGGAGGGAGCATGCTAATAATTACTTTATGCTAAACAAGATCTTGAGTTTCAAGAATTTTTTATCAGGATTAAAGAAAAAGGATTTTTAAAAAGTGTGTGTGTGGGGGGGGGAATCTGGTGAGGCTCAATTGCAGTTGGGGACCAAACAGTGCTGAATTCTTGGGAAAGTTGTAAAACCTTTGGGATAACCATGACCTGGATGACTGAAAATCTCCATAGGAAGCTGTAAAAGTATAGTACTATTTTGTCAATCATGGATTGGCCTTAATACGAATTTTATTTTTATTTTTTTAATTACCACCAAGTTTTAGTTTAGTCCCTCTTACAAAGCACTGAAGAGCAGCTTCAGGAGCTGCCCGGGAACTGTCACTGGTTCATCGCCTCCAACTAAATGAAAGGGGTCTTATTGTGACGCGCTCTGCCAATCCCTGTTGTAAGTTCCGAAAGCTTTTGCATTTGGTCGGAGCGGGGCTGGAATGCGGGGGACGCTCTCCCTCCCGCCTTAATTTCCTTGTCTTCAACTCTTCAGAGGCGTTCACCGAAGGGAAATCACTGCTATGCCGCCTTTTCCGTGCCCCGACCCTGGAAGCGCCTCGTCTGCGCTCGACATCTCGGCTTGTATTGCATCCTTCCCGGCTATTTCCTCCTCCTGGGCCCGCCGGACTCCTCCCAACTTCTGCTCGGCGCGTCGCCGCCTCTTGCTTTGTTGATGTTTCACTTAATTTTAATGCGCAGTTCCCAAGATGGAGGCAGCGCTGGGGCCGCGCGAGTTGCTCGGGCTGGTGGCAGGGCTCCTGCTGCTGCCTCCAAGCCTTTTCGCCCTGAATCCGACAGCCGCCTTCTCCCGGATGGTAAGCCAGGTAGGCAAGGAAAAGTTTCCTGGGAAGCTTCGGCTTCTGGCCCCGAAAACGTGTGTGTGTGTGTGTGTGTGTTTGTTTGTTTGTTTGTTTGTTTGTTTGTTGTAGGGCAAGGGGAGAAGAGAAAAGATCGGGTCTCCCTTCAAAGCCCTAAGTGGGGAACGTGAAGATGTGATTCGGCACCCGGCTTTGTATGAGTATCGGTCATGGTGGTTTAGAAGAAAGATCTACTAAAGTAGGGACACGCGACGTTGCCATGCTGGTGGCTTGTCTGCCAAGTCTATTTGCAAAACTGAGTTCTGTTGTATGTATCGGGATAACAGGCTAAGTTTTGGGCAGTTTGCATGTGGAAATTCTTCTTTTCCCGACTGTTTGGAAGGAACGATTTGTGAGTTAATAGTTTTACAAAAAGGTGTGATCCAGGCCTTGTGTATCTCTCTGTGTGTGTCTTGAATACAATACCCAGCATCTTGTCCTTTTAGATAGATAACTTGCTACCATATTAGATTTTAATCTTTGTAGTAATGCAATTTGTACTTCCCGTAATAAGCCTGCTTTTTATAGAAAGAACAGTATGTTCTAAGGAAGCCTGTTTCTGTATTTATGTCCTTGTCAAACATGAATTAAATATTTCAGGCATCATGATGCATTTGTTACTCTATTACCATGGCTAAAGCAGTCATCTGCTATATTTGTCTTAGTTTGAGGTTTAAACATCACAGTAGTGATTTGAGACATTTCCAAATATTGGATGTGGTTAACTGCCATGATAATGTTAATTGATTAAAGAGCCCACAAACTCTTATTGCACACATAAAACAATTAAATTTGTTTAATTTTACTTCTGGTTTACCATGGAGTACTTAAATAAGAAAGAATTGATTTTATGGAGAGCTGTCAGAACAAAGATTGCAGGTCTATATTTACTTAGCTGAGCTGGACCTTGCTCATTAGCCCTACTTTCATATCTGTAGGTTGTTTTTCAAATCCAAGCCATATGGGAGGTCCTCTGTATTTTACAGCAGGGGGAGAAATATGAATTTGAGGATCATTCTTGAAAAGCAGAGAACCTCCCTACATCCTTAGTCCTGACCCAGTTCTTTGCCCGGGGTGATTCTCTTCACTACAGAGAAGATGAGAAAGATGATAATTACATGCAAAAAAGATGATTATATGCAAGAAATGAAATAGTCCATGTTGGGATTCTTCTGCCTCCCTCCCTCCCCTCCCTTTCAACCCCAGAGAATGAAGATGTAGAAAGCACTCAACATAGAAATAGAGTATGCTGAAGGAAGACAAATGAAAAACTGATTCCAGACTGTTGCCATGAAAACTACATGGATGTGTTTTGAAGGCATCAGGAGTCAAGGTCAATGCTGAAGGGTTTTCCTTCACTCCTTCACTCAGCCAACAAACAAAAAACCTTCGTTGTAAACAAAATATGTAAATACACTAGTCTTTAAAATATACTATTCATTGGTGTAAATAAAGAGATAGCAACTTTATCTCAGTCTTCAAAGGTGGCAGCATCTGTTGGCAGGCTTGGTCCTGGTTAGTACTTGGATGGGAAATGTCCAGGAAATACCAGAATTTTAGAATAGATTGGGACAATCAAAAAATATGCTAAAGGAAGACAATGAAAACCTCTTTCAGATTGTTGCCAAGAAAATGACATGGATATGTTCTGAAGGCATCAAGAGACAAGCTCTTGCTGAAGGATTTCCATACTTCCATTTCTTCCAATGTATTTGGTTCTTTTCCTTATTGTTTTACTCAAGTTTATTCTTCTAAGCAGGTAGTATATCCAAAGATTTGAGAAGTGGTGGAAAAATAGTCTCCCTTAAAAGACTGACAGCAAATTCTCTCTCCACATCTACCGTATCATACCTTCTTGGCATTGTATTCATTTCATACCTGAGTTATTCATTTTGTAGCAAATGAGAATTAGATGTCTTGTTTCAGTCAGAGGAGGATGCTTCTGCTAATTTGCCTTTCCCAAATGGGAAGGCTCCAAATATCTGATTGATTAGTTTGCTCACAAAACCTCCTGGTATAATTTCTTTTCAGAAGGCAATTATTTTTAGAACAGAACTTCAACCAGTTGTTAATAGGACAAGTTAAAATATGAAAAGATAAAAAAAATCTGTGCCGTAAATTGGTTCATGCAATTTTCATGCAAGTCCACTGTTGCACAATTTCTGTGTCTTTCCAAATATTTACGCAATATCAACTTTCTCCCCTCTCTGATTTTTCTAAGATGAAATGTGCTTCACAGCTGCCACATCTTCTTTGTTCTGTTGAAATGAGTTGGTAATTTTTTTCCTTTGAGTCAGAGAAATCACAGTGTAATCAAATAATAATCAGAAAATCCCAGAGAGTTTTGAAATAAAAGATGATTAAATGCACTAAGGAAATACTTCCACTGAGTCATACAATATATATAGTATATTTGGCAACACAAGGAATGTGGGGAAGCCACAAGGGAGAAGAGGTTAATTAGTCCTTGTTCCATAACTATAATGTGTAAAAAAGAAGATAATGTGGTATTTACTGATTAAGGCAAGAAACTTTCAGATCCAAATTAATTTCTTTGATGCTTATGTTTTGTCTCGTGTATACTGTAGGCTTTTTAAAATTCTCTGAGAGAAATGTGTTTAAATTAATAAGATTGCAAACTGAAATTTTAATATTGTAACTACCTATTTAACAAGCAAGATTATGTTGCCATAATACATGCAGCCGTTTTACAAGTATTCTTCATGTTAGAAATTACTTATAATGTTTATTTTCCTACCAAATAAAGCTGAGTAGAAAAATATATATGTATAAGCTAGAAAATGTAGATTAAATTGCTCCTTTAAATTTGATTTTTAAGAATGAAAAACTAAATGTATCAGTGTGAATTATGAAGCAATATGCACAACCCTTCTTAAAAATAGATACATTGATGTGAGGAAGAGTTTGGTCTAGTGGTTAAGGTATCACACTAGAAACCAGGTGACATGGGGTTCTAGTCTGTCTCTAGGCACAAAGCCAGCTGGGTGATCTTGAGCCAGTTACTTTCTCTCAGTCCTAAGAGGCAATGCCAAACCAGTTTTGAAAAACCATGTCAAGAGAACTGCAGGGATTTGTTCAGGCAGTCTCCAAGAATAAAACACAACTGAATGGAAAAAGAAAAAAGGGGAAAAAAGAATGTCTTCTTTTATGGTTTGGTCCCACTAGTAAAAGCATAGCCTGACTGGAGCTCTGCTCCGGATATTACCCTTGGTTAGTGTTAGGGTTAGAGCTTGTACTATGGCTGGTTGCCCTTTCTCTTCCCAACTTCTACTATCTTCTTTCATAGCTTTATCTTCAAAATACTACTTTATTTTCCTTGGAATGACAATTCAGATGGTCCCATGACTCAGCACACACACACACACACACACACACATACTAGTGGGCTCAAGTATTTCTCTTTAAAAGGTGATGATCAAAAATCATGTATGTAAAATGTAGCAGGTTGGTTGGGGATGGTCTGAATCATCGTAGTGAAAGCGGAGGAGAAAATCCTGCTTTACCTTTTTTTATAGAATTACTCTGTGCTCAAAATCATCTCCCTACTTTCCGTCTTCTGCCTATTGTTTCTCTCCCCGCCCCCTTTATGGTGGAAAAGGAATCTAGAGATTTTTGTTTGCAGAAATGGTTATATTGAAAAGATGAAGCAACCCTTTTTCTTAAGATTGCTGCTGCAAGAGTCTCAGTGTTCAATTGTTGGGGGAGATATTGTCAATTTGGGCCATAAAAGGCGGAGAGACAGAATGAAGAAAGATGGTGAGTTAATATAGTCTGTGCCCATGCTGAGCATTGAGATAAGTGTCTTTGGAGTTACTGTGTGAGTTGATAACTGGAGAGAGATGTGTGTGCTGGAAGATTGGAAATGGGCAGTTTCCATTTTCTGGCCCCAGAAGGATGAAGATGTTGGTTACAGGCGACAGGGAGAAGAAATGTAAAACCAGAGTGAGGAATGTGCTTTATCCCAAACCTAAAGTAGATGGAGGCAGAGGAAGATGGATGGCAAAAGGACACCTGGAGGAAGCCTCAGAGCAGGATAGGTTGGGCAGAAGGCCCAATGGGAGATGCATCATGCAACATTAATGCAGGTTGATGACTTTCAAGGTCTGAAAAAGCTGAAAGAAACACTTTAAGTGCACCGCAAAGTAATCAGCTACTTCTCTCTCTTTCTCTCTCACTCTCCTTGAAAAGCTGTGGGAGAGGGAGAAGGAAAAAGAAGAGAGTTGGCAGTTAATCAGTGAAGTGAATGTTTGCTGGCAAATACTTGTGGAAAGCAGAAAGAAAATTTAAGATTTGCGAGAAACAGGAGAGAGGAAGAAATGGGCAAACTTGGAAACAGTGCTATAAATAGTTCTGTTTTTTCCACAATTCCTGTAAATATATTTGCATAGAGTTAAAAAAATACAAAAAAATCTTCCATGGACTTGGTCTTTGGGGAGCAGCTGTTCTACTTAATAAGGCACACACAAAATCATAAAACTATAAAAGTACAGTCAGTCATACTATGGCAGCCCCGCCCCCAACATAAATCTGTACATTTGGTTATCTCTTGGTTATCCATGGTATTTTTGGGAGCCTCTATGCATCAATATTCAAGTGCCAGTATTCTTGCTAGCCTGCTTCCTCACAGTCGAAGTTTCATGGAATATTATAGGGAAAACTATTGACTGCATGATTCTGAGGTTTTTTTTATTATCCAATAATGCATCAGCAATAATTTTTCTTGTTCCTTGGCCTATCTGAAGTGAGGTGGAACATTTTGTATCTCCCTTTCCATGTAAGGTTCTAACCTCTGTTGGATGATGCTAAGTATTATTTTTCTAACATGCAAATTAAATATATTATAATAGTTTGCACACTCTGTTAAATTTCTTTGTTGTTGTTGTTGTTGTTGGTATATAGACTGACTTCTTCCAATCTTTTGGCCATTATGATTTATTGGCATAATTGGTTACAGTTTTTATTAACTCTTCCTCTCTTGCTTGCTATATTTCTGTAGACATTCCATCAATATCTCTTGCTTTCTGACTTAGTACAGGTAGCCCTTGACTTACAACCACAATTGTCCCCAAAATTTGTGTTGCTAATTGAGACAAGTTGTTCAATTTTAAATTTTCCCCATTTTACGACCTTTCTTGTCTCAGTTATTAAGTGAATCACTGCAATTGTTAACTTAAGTAACATGGTTGTTAAGTGAATCTGGATTCTCCATTGACTTTGCTGGTCAGAAGGTCACAAATAGTGATTACATGATCCCGGGACACTGCAACCATTATAAATACAAATCAGTTATCAAGCATCTGAATTTTGATCACATCCATGGGGATGCTGCAATAGTGGTAAGTGTGAAAAATAGTGATAAGTCACTTTTTTCAGTGCCATTATAACTTTGAACAGTCACTAAGTGAACTGTTGTAAGCCATGGACTATCTTATCAGATAATAGATGCTTATCGGTCTTTACCATGAGCAGCATTGGGGCATTCTGATCATTGCATGATTCACCTTGTACCTGCTTACAAACAAAGACTTAAAACCATGAAACCAACAATTAAATCAGTGAGGACTTGGACTGAGAAGGCAAAGCTAAAACTACAGGCTTGCCTTGACTGCACTGTTTGGAATGTTTTCAAAGATACCTCTGCAGACTTGGATGAACTTAGAGATACATAACATCATATGTCAGTTACCTACGAATATACAATAAACAATAAACCTTGGTTCACAGCTAAACTTAACAGCTATGTTGTACCAAAGAGGAAGCCTACAGAAAAGCTGATAGAATGCTGTTCAATCAGGTCAGAAATGTTGTTAACTTAAGTAACATGGTTGTTAAATGTCACCGGTTACAGCAAATCTGCTTCCCATGCCGAAGGAAATCAACAACTGGCAGATGACCTGAATGTGTTTTACTGTAGGTTTGAGAGAAAACTACTGCCACCCATCTCCACAATCCCCATGTCAGACACACCAACAACAGCCAAGTCTCCTATTAGGCCCACCACCTCTTGCGATTACAGAAAATGAGGTGCAAGATCCATTTCACAGACAAAAGCTAGGAAAAGTACCAGGCCCAGACAAGATAACCCCTTGCTTAAAAGTTTGTGCTGACCAACTGGCTCCCATCTTCACCCGCATCTTTAATAAATCACTAGAGATGTCAAATGTTCCTTCTTGCTTCTAACACTCTACTATCATCCCAGTGCTGAAGAAACCCTCCATCAAGGAACTGAATGACTTCAGACTGGTTGCTCTAACATCTGTAGTTATAAAAACCTTTGAAAAGCTAGTGCTGGCCCACCTAAAAACCATCACGGATCTGCTGTTAGACCCCTTGCAATTTGCCTGCTGAGCAAATAGATCGACAGATGATTTTGTTGATATGTCTCTGCACTACATCCTACTACATCTTGAATCTCCAAAGACTTATGCAAGGGTCCTCTTTGTAGACTTCAGCTCAGCACTCAATACCATCATTCCAGATATTATTCTAAGTAAACTAAACCAGCTAGCTTTACCTGACCACACTTGTAAATGGATCATAAGCTTCCTAACAAATAGGAGGTAGCAGGTGAAGTTAGACAAAAATCACAACAGATACCTGTACAATTAGCACAAGAGCCCCCCCCAAGGCTGTCTGCTCTCTCCACTTCTCTATATACACCAATGACTGCATCTCAAAAGATCCCTCTATTAAAGTATTGAAGTTTGCAGATGATACAACAATGATTGGTCTCATTCGAGACAATGACGAATCTGCATACAGACGGGAGGTTTGATCAACTAGCTTTGTGGTGCAACTGGAACAATCTTGAACTAAACTCATTCAAAACTGTAAAAATGATGGTAGATTTTAGGAGAAATCCTCCTATACTACCATCTCTTACCATACTAGAAAACACAGTCAAGACCTAAAGGGCTTTTCATCTGGCATTATAGTGTAACTCCATTTTTATTATATATCTATATGGCTCTCTTGATAATACAGGAATTCTTTTCCATTGTGTCTTCCAGCACAATATGAAACAATGACTTTGACACTGTCACTAAAGCAATTATCTGCCTTTAGTATCTTCCAATATTGCTGCTGTCCAATATAGGCGCCTACGTGTGTTAGCTGGGCAGCTGGAATGATGGTAAAGCCTTGAGAGATTATGTGCTTTGGCCTTCTCTCCTGGGTATCTTTGCTCATCTCTTACAGGAACATGCCTCCTCCTTCCTTAATAAAGCAACACAGCAAGACTTCAGAGAAACGCATTAATAACCTATCGAATTTCAATCCTGTTGATTTCAGTAGGTCTCTTTTAGGCAGGAAGGTGGCTCAAATATACATAGTAAAATGTTTGGTTGTACATATTGCAACTATTGTGAGGATTATGCCATCAATTAGGGTGAGTTGTATGTTGGATCATATAAAATTTACCTGAACATAGCTTCTCATTATTTAGCTTTTAATTGATATGACTGCAAAATGTCAAGCCTTTAGTGGTAGGCAAATAAAATAAATAAAAAAATACATTGGTTTTGGAATATTCTTTATAGCTAGCAAAGTATTATAATACAAAGCATATGAAAACAATTCTTCAGCTAAGGTAATTAAAGCAAAGTTTTCCCCTTCCTCTGAACTTAGATTTCCTTCTATAAATATTATCTCTGTCCTACACTTTCTCAGGGTCTGTTAGACATTTCATTACAGAAAATCATTGGATTATACAATTCGTATTTATGCAGCATAGTATGCACTATTAGGTATAAAAGGCACTTTGGAATCTTGATAGTTATATATACTACACTGGCCTCTATTATTCTCTGGTCTCTGAACCTATTTATGGCATTTTGTTCCTCTTTCAGTTTTTTGACTCTGGTTACTTAGACACAGACTTTAGACATGCTAGATCCTGACAAACCACATTGTGGATGGAAGCATAAATTTGTCTCACAAACTAAAAATTGAATTAAACACCTTTCTTAGTTTATAAACTGTATTGAGTATTTCTTTCTTTTTCTCTTCTTTTTTTTGTCATTTTGTTATTTCAGGAAAATATCAAGATTAAAGTAAATATACTGGAAACCACTGGGGATATCCAGGAAAGACAGGTATTGTATGTTTCACTTCCTGTACTTTTTTTTAGCAAAGTCTTTATTGTGATTCATCAGCTTAAGGGTCTTTCTAGTTACTATAATACCATGTTTCCATGAAAATAAGACCCAACTGGAAAATAACTCCTAGCATGATTTTTTCAGGATAGCAATAGCACTCAGACTTATATACAACTTCACCATGCTTTTACAGCCCCCTCTAAATGGTTTACAGAGTCAGCATATTGTCCCCAACAATTTTGGGTCCTCATTTTACCCACCTCGGAAGGAAAGAAGGCTGAGTCAACCTTGAGCCAGGGAGATTTGCTGTGCCAAATTGCAGACAGCCAAGTGTCAGCAAAATAGTCTGCAGTACTGCACTCTGACCCCTGCACCACCACGACTCTTAATGCTCGTAATATAAGCCTTATCCCCCAAATAAACCTCAATTAAGATCATGTCATTTAGTACCCTATTTCCCCCAAAATAAGACCTAACCGGAAAATGCTTCTTTTGGGGAAAAAATTAATATAAGACTCGGCCTTATTTTCGGGGAAACATGGTAGTACAATAAATATACCGAGTTGTTGATTAAGATTTTTGGGATACTCAATAATTCCTTCCAATAAATAGTTTGTTATGTTTATACTACCTTCTATGAGTTTGTAAAAGTTAGAAGATTATTTTTGGGGTTCCAAATTTGGTGCTTAATTGGCATTATGCTATATACATAGCAATGTGCCTGAATATATGCATTTTGTAAGTGTGCTGCTTTCAGTCATAATAGTTGTCAGTAGTACATAGTTTTATACTATGAACTGACAGATGATGAAGTCCTGTAGATAATATGTGGACCCTTGTTCAGCTTGTTTCAGTTGATGGTGACAACAGACCTAGCTGTTTTTCACTGGTTGTCCCTAAGCTATACTGTTCATAGTTCCCAACACTTACTTTACAGAGTCTATGGGAAATTGAAGACCTGATTTTCCACTGCTGGTTACAAGTCCAAGATACCAGTCTGAGTTAAAGGACTGGTTTAACTTCTTGCAGATGTTTCATACCCAAACTAGATAACTGTTCTGTTAATGGTGGTAAGCAAAACCGAGAATGAGTGGCATGAGTATCTAAGTTACAGCCAGAAAATAGATTTTTTAAAGGTTTCAATGACTTCCTGTCAAACAGTGTTACATTCTGCTTTTTACTCCTCTTGCAAAAGCTCAGTTTTTCCACACACAGATACTTCACAGGTTATATTTTTAATCCAAAATCACTAAAATCAGTGGCAATAGTAAGAGTAATAGTAGAGTAAGAGATCAAGCCAGTTTGGTGGAGTGATTAAGGCCCCAGACTAGAAACCAGGAGATAAGGACGTTTAGCCTTACCTTAGACACAAAGCCAGCTGGATCTATCTTAGCCTTAAGAAGAAGATAATGACAAGCTGCATCTGAAATCTTACCAAGAAAAACACAATAGGATATTAGAGTTGGAAGGGACCTTGGAGGTCGTCTAGTTCAACTTTCTGCTCAAACAGGAGGGCGATTTCAGACAAATGACTGGCCAGTCTCTTCTTAAACGGCTCCAGCGATGGAGGACCCACAACTTCTGAAGGCAAGCCATTCTACTGATTGATTGTTCTCACCGTTACAACTGTGCAGGGATTTGCTTAGGCCAGGGGTAGTCAACCTTTTTATACCTACCGCCCACCTTTGTATCTCTGTTAGTAGTACAAATTTTCTAACCGCCCACCGGTTCCACAGTAATGGTGATTTATAAAGTAGGGAAGTAACTTTACTTCATAAAATTTATAAAGCAGAGTTACAGCAAACCCCTACCGCCCACCATGAAAGCTGGAATGCCCACTAGTGGGCGGTAGGGACCAGGTTGACTACCACTGGCCTAGGCAGTCACCAGGAATCCACATTGACTCAAAGGAACCAAAAATGTTGAATGTTGATTTTATTTTTATGCTGCCCTTTTCCCCCGAAGGGGACTCAGGGCGGCTCACAACTCAACCAGGGAAGGGGGATACAAACAAGAATTTAAAACGACATAAAAAACAATGCATAATAAAAACACAACAGTCATACCAATTCGAGACGGGGGCAACAGTTCTTTAGCCCCAGGCCTGTCAGAACAGCCAGGTTTTAAGGGCTTTGCGGAAGGCCTGGAGGGTGGTGAGGGTTCGAATCTCCACGGGGAGTTCGTTCCAGAGGGTCGGAGCAGCCACAGAAAAACAGCTAGGTCTGTTGTCACAGAAACCAAACCATTGAGGGTTCAGTATAGGATGGCCTTTCATTTTTTTAAAGCATGAAAGCACAATGATGGCAAATTTATCAACCTATTTGGATGGTAACTAATTTTGAATCTCTTATATTTATGACTTATTTTGATCATTGCTCTCATGATAGTGTAAATTAAACAAAACCTGGTCAACCCTGTATCTTGAAAAGTATAAAATTCCCTTTTTATGAAACTGTACATTCAATATATATTATTCTGTGGATTTTTTTTTAGGTTGTCCTTAATATTACTTATGTGAATGGTCAGATGTATGTAAATGACTTTCCACTGAAGAGCGGAGTCACACGGATAAAATGTCAAACTTTAATCTGTGAGTATTTCTTAATTCACTATCTGGATTGTATGTTCCTCTATAATTCTATAGAGGTAGTCCCCGGCTTATGACTTTGATTGGGACTGGGACTTCAGTATCTAAGTGATGTAGACACTAAGTGAGTCATGCCAATTTTATGACATTTTTGTTGCATTCATTGAGAGAATCACTATGGCCATTAAGCAAATCTGGCTTTCCTTTTAGCTTTGCTTCTCTGAAGCCCCCTGGAAGGTCACCAATGGCAATCATGCAGCCCCAGGATCGGGGTGGGATTCTACCAGTTTGGGTGAACCAGTTCGCTCCAAATTTGAAGTGGGGTCACCCGCCCGCCCCTGCACAACATTCACCTATATTTCCTTTTCCGAAGCCCACCTGATCAGCGCGGAACAGTGGATTGCTGCACCTCAGCTGTTTTCCTCGCCAGCAATAACGCGGAAGGTGAGTTTTCTGAAAACTCCCAGAAAACTCACCTTCCGCATTACTCACAGAAGCGAGTGCACGTGAAGGGGCCGCTCAGCAAACCACTTGTTAAACCGGTAGGATCCCACCCCTGCCGAGGATTCTACAGTCATCGTAAATGTATGTTGTTGCCAAGCACCCAAATTTTGATCATGTGACTAGCAGGGATGTTGCGACAGTGGTTAAGTGTAAGGACTGAACATGAATCACTTTGTTTAACCGCATTGTAACTTTTAATGGTCATTAAACTAATAATTGTAAGTTGAAGAATACCTTTAATTGTTTTTTGCATCCCCAGAGTCACTTTTCGTGAGTTGGGCAGGCATGTATACATTTGATAAATAAATAACTCTCATTGCTAAAAAAAACCCAACCCTCTGCATATAAATTAGTAACAATAGGTTATTTTCATTTCTAAAGAATTCAAGATTATTTATTGGTGATTGTTTATAGTTTTGAATTAATTCAGGGTAGTACATTATTGTGTCCATATATTTGTGGCCATGTATTTGCCCACCAAATACAAACAGAGATTAAAAGCTGATTTTAGGAAAGCCCTCAGCAAGTTCCTGTTTGGTTATTTGATTGTGTCGCAGGCTGAGCTGTAGAAACTCAAGGATGTGACTCCACCCTGATAAGTCCTGTCCGTCTCCTCTCACGCCCAGCACACATCCAGCTGAATTGGTGAAGGAGAAAAACAGCATGGTTTTCAGATAGTCTTCGCAAAACACTTTTTAAGAAGACTTTCCTAATTCATATTTTCTGCAAATAAAAAATGGGATTTTTCTTGTAAGGATAAAAGAATTACCCAGCACTTACAAATTTAAAATGATGCTTATTAGAAGAAGCAAGCATTCTGGTTTGTTTACTTTTTTTGGTATTATGTGCCTTACATTGAAAAGAAAGATCCTGATTGGATATATAAGCATAATTTATGAAGCCAAAAAATTACATGCTATTTACGAATGTTTAATACACTAAGTATTTCCTTGATATACTGGTTTCAAGGTTAGCTTTTAAGATAATTTACTCTTTACTCCAAGACATGCTTTACTCAAGGACATGGTAGAAACTGATTCTTAACAGTTTAGAGCAATATGCATAAAAAGATGCTGTAGGAGAAGTGAATCCCAACAGTGGTTCATTGTGGCCTTTTAAAGGGAATCCCATACTTTCTAGTGTTTAACTAGCTCTAATACAGGTAATCCTCAACTTACAACCATTCATTTAATGACCATTCAGTTATTTCAAATGGCATTGAAAAAAGTGACTCAAAACCGGTTCTCACACTTAACTGTTGTAGCACTCCCAGGGTTACATGATCAAAATCTGGGAGCTTGGTAACTGGCATTATACATCCTGGTATCACGTGAATTGCCATTTGCAATCTTCCTAGTTGGCTACTGATAAGTAAAGTCAATGGGGGAAACCGAATTCACATAATGATTGTTTCACTGTTCCGGCATTCACCAAGGACACAACAAGAGAAGCAGTTTGGTGGTTTAAATGCTTTATCTCTTTCTTTGTGAAACCTGTGATAACCGGCAGCAAATGACTGATAATACAAAGAATACATGTGAAATCAGTTCTAACCCAGTTAACCTTATACCCATATATATATACACACAACCCTTCCCATAACCACCCATATGTCATACCCTCACCCACCCTTACACCAAGCTGCACCAAACTCCACCCATAAGCCCCACCCCCTCACCTTGCGAAGCAATGAACCATCACAGGAAGAGAGATCAGTCCAGTTCAGTCCAGTTCAACCCAACCAGGGAATATCCGCAGTCCAGTCAGGAATTAGTCCGGAACATGCCTCAAGCATTCGTTTAATAGGAAACAGCTATTCCCAGCAAAGGCATACGCTCTGCCACGTCACATGGCTCATGACGTCACCACCTGACCAGCCACAATTTTGGGAGTGGAGGAGGAGTGTTGGGCCATGCTGGTGCTCTGAATGAGTGAAGGAGGAAGCAGCCAAGACGAACGGGGCAGCCAGGATGGCCGGACGCCGATGATTGGAGTGATCTGAACAGCTGGTAACCCCGTGTGCTCTTGTCAGGCTCCTCGCGTGCTGGGAATGGCAGCCTGAGGGCTGACAGATTGCTTGAGTCATTTAATAACTGCAGTGATTCGCTTAACCATGGCAAAAAAGGTCTTAAAAATGGGCGTGACTGGCTTAACAATCACCTTCCTTAGCAACAGAAATTCTGGTCCCAATTGTGATCATAAGTCAAGGACTACCTGAATAGACATAATTTAAAGCAGGGCTGTCAAACTTGTGGCCCACGGGCTAGATGCGTCACATGCTGGCCATGGCCATACCCAGTTTAGCAACTGGGGAAAAAAGATGTAATATGTCATGTGACGACACTGTGACGACGCAAGTTTGACATCCCTGATTTAAATAGACAAAAGTCCTTCTAAACTCATGGGGTTTTACTTGGGAAAAGTATACATTTCATTTATTTCTCAAACAAAATTTCATTTGCTGTAATCTAATAACTAATTACCTTTAGTTCTCTGAATTTCTATTAAATTCTGAAGAGAAGCACGTGAATTTGAGAACTCAGAATGCAATGCATTATGGTTTTCTCCAGATATAAGAAGCAGAATGTTTGCCTGCAAATCATCACTGACTTTACTGGATTAAATGGAATGGGAGGAAGTTAGATTAGGGAGATTCAGGACTCATAATACAAAAAAAGCCATGGGAACAAGTCCTTGACACTAAAAACTGGATTTCAGTTAAGTGGTACATAATAAATGCCAAGGCTTCTGTGCCACACAAACATCTTGATGATAGTTGTATTCTATGCAAATTTAACTTAATACAGTGGCAGCAGTAATTACTGTTCTTCTGCTGAAATCAGTGTAAGTGTACATGGCTGGAGAGGAAAAGAAGTTGGGTGTTAGCATAGTAGCAGTGAGCTACATAATTGAGAGAGAAATCTACATTACAGGAAGACAGCCTCCATTTGAAAATGAGGAGAAGATAGCCCAAGAGCGTGTCACTTTATGTTCTATTCCATATGTTGTATAGTGGCTTAGATTATGGATGCTTTAGTTTGGATTTAACACGTTAAATGTAAATCTAAATACCTCCTTCAACTCTTTTGTTCAGTGATTTCTGGGACTCACCTAGTAGTACAAGTAGAACTGCTTGATTTTCTAATGCTTCCTTTAGGTGTAAGAATGGTTATATAAAGTTAGTTTATCCTAGTAATTCGATAGCTTCCATCAAATAGTAGGGAGAGGGGTATTCAACTTGATTCAATGAGCTGAAGAACCTACAGAGCAGATTTGGGAAGAAAAGAAGTGCCCTCAGGGCAGGAGGGAAGAAGAGAGAGTGGGAAAGTGCAATTGTGCAAAAGATGATATTTGTAGAAGACAATCTAGAAAGTAGAAAATATTCCTGTTTCCATTTTAATAGTCTATTTAGCTCTCTGTCATTTTTCCTAAAAATACAGTAATTGTGAAATCTAGTCAGCTAGTTATATTAGTTCCACACTGAATTGCAATATGGCGTCCAATCCACTTTGCAACACTATTTTAATGTGTAACTTGTTTCTAGAGATTTTGTTTCTCTGCGTGGCCTCTATATGACACACAGTTATTTGTTGATAGTGAAGAGTGGAAACCATGATACCTTAGGAATTGTCAGTGTTCGCATTATGATTCATGAGTGGCCAATGGCATCCAGCTCCAACTTGAAATTGATTGTTGTTCAAGAAGAAGTGACGGATATAGATGAAAAGCAGGCAAGTATTCTTTTTCTAAATCATTGTATTTACTGGCTTAGGTATAAATCCATAGTGGAAGATTGTTTTTGCAGAATGATGGACATATTTTAGTTCTGCATTTTATCTTCTGCCAATAAACCAAGAATACCGCTGTCTGATGTTAGATAGTTCTGTGTCCTCTTTTGTATCAGAATAGGTACTTTTTAAATTAAAAAAGCCCTCAAAGTCAACACCTTTTATATATTTTTGTAATTTTTTACAGGAATTTTGATGGTATCTATACAATCATATTTTAAGAATGTTTATATATATTACATATCTCCAGGAAATGGAGGAAAGGAAACGGCTAACTTTTTAAAAGCAGCTACTTTGTATAGTATGTGAGGGTTTTTTTGTTGTATAAGGGTAAAGGGTAAATTGGCCATACATTGAGCTTAATTCTTGATGACCTGATGGATATATCCTTGCAAGTTTTTTTATCAACAATGTGCAGTGGGATTTTTTCCCCAACTTGCCAATCTAATATACAGTGATAGTATTTCACGATGATCTTTCTTCTGATTAGTTAGTTAGTTAGTTAGTTTTATTGATTTGTATGCCGCCCACTCCCGAAGGACTCCGGGCGGCTTACAATAAAACAAGGGAGGGGGAATAATACACAAACAACATTAAAATATACAACAATCACAATCTCCTGGGGGCTGGATATTTCGAGAGCCCCCCGGCCTGCTGGAGCAGCCAGGACTTAACAGCTTTGCGGAAGGCTGGGAGGGTAGTAAGTATCCAGATCTCCACGGGGAGATCGTTCCAGAGGGCTGGTGCTGCAACAGAGAAGGCTCTCCCCCGGGGAGTCACCAGCCGACATTGGCTGGCAGATGGAATCCGAAGGAGACCTAACCTGTGTAATCGAATCGGTCTATGGGAGGTGATCGGCAGGAGGCGGTCTCTCAGGTACCCAGGTCCGATGCCATGAAGGGCTTTATAGCTAACGACCAGCGCCTTGAAGCGGATCCGGAGACTAATGGGTAACCAGTGCAGCTCGTGGAGGATAGGTATAACGTGGGTGTACCTGGGTGCACCCACAATCGCTCGCGCGGGCTGCATTCTGGACCAGCTGGAGTCTTCGAACACTCTTCAAGGGCAGCCCCATGTAGAGCGCATTACAATAATCCAGTCTTGAGGTCACAAGGGCGTGAGTGACTGTCTGAAGAGCCTCCTGATCCAGGTAGGGTCGCAATTGGTGCACCAGGCGGACCCGGGCAAAGGTCCCCCTGGTCACAGCCGACAGATGGTGTTCTAGAGTCAGCTGTGGGTCCAGGAGGACTCCCAAATTGCGAAGCCTCTCTGAGGGGCGTATAATTTCGCCCCCCAGCCTGAGAGATGGAATATTTGGCCAATCTTTGCGAGGGAACATCAGTAGCCACTCGGTCTTGTCTGGATTGAGTGCCAACTTATTTACTCCCATCCAGACCCTAACAGCCTCCAGGCACTGGCACATCACTTCTACTGCTTCGCTGAGTTGAGATTATTAACCAGGACTGCCCCTGTTTAACTTCCAAATCCCGAAAAGATCCGGCTAGTGCCAGATGCTAAAACCTCATCAGCACAGACTTCCTCAGAATTATTTTTTAGATCAAAGATGATTCTAAGATTTGCTATTGGGTGTTATTATTCATTTGTTTTTACTTATGAAATGTGGGAGGGAGAAGTACTAAATATACAAATATATATTCAAGAGAGATATATAGGGGGGGTGGGCATAGTTAGGATAGATTAACGAAGGTAAGGGAATAAGGAATGATACTAAATTATATTTGGGTTTGTGGAAAAACCATTCCAAAAAAGCATAAACTGAAACTTGAAAGAGACATCTATAACAACAGAAAAAGAAAGGGAGATAGGAGGAGAGAATAAGAGGAAGAAGAGAGAAGGAAGGAAGCAGTATTGAGAGGCAGGTGGAAGGGAGAGAAAGAGAAAGAGAGAGGGTAGGAAGGGGAAGAGTAGGAGTAGGGGAGAGGTAAGGGAGGAAGAAAGGGGAAGGAGAGGAGGAAGGAAGAAAGTAGAGAAGGGAGTGGGAGAAAAGAAGGGAAAATAAGGTGATGTTACAACAGGTGGAAGGGATGGTAAATAAAGCAATCCAAATTGTATATTATAATCTATTAAATGGAATGACAAATGTAAAGAAGAATAACAATTATATGAATGTATAATTACAATGGTATGTAAGAGAATACAAAATAAAAAACTTTATAAGGAAAAAAATGTGGGAGAGAGTAAAGATTTGAATAGTTAAATTTGAAAATCCTAATAGCACATATTTATTTTGGAGTTAACACACATTTTGCTCTTCTGCCAGCACTGAGTAGGATCAGTGAAGACCTCCATCTCATATTCCTAGTATTAACAATATCCAATACTTTTTGTCTTGACCATATATTTACTCTTGTTGTTCAAAATCTGGAACAAAAACGTATGTTGTAATACAATTTCCTTATGAAGCAAACCCTCTCCATAATTTAGACAGATTCTACTTAAAATTCCCATGTATAATTAGATCGTGAATCATTTTCATTACAGGGCTTAAGGAAAAGCCTTCCTGTGGAACACAAATACTTAAAAATAGTACAAGAGAATTTCAGATAAGATACCTGTTTCAGGCTTAAATTTTAATTTAATTACAATTTTAAACTTAATTACAAACTTCCACCACATATCGTAGAAAGGAGCTATGAAAATAGCAACTTTCTTACAGTTGGCACATTTAAATCATATATATGATCCAAAATTGGAGGAACCCATGCCCTGCTAAATAGCTTCAAGAACTTGACCACTTGCTTAGAACATACTTTTTAAATTGTAGAGGAGAAAACTTCCTATATACACTTGCATATTACATTAGACAGTTCTGGGATGTTGGATTATTTGTAGTACTATCATTGTGTATGCAACAGTTTTAGACAAATGGAGTGGATAAATTGATCAATTCTGCCAGGAAGCAGCCTTCAGTTTGTTTAAATGCCAAATTATTCAAGACTTTCTCATTTCTGGTTGAAGAGATAAACCTTGACTTTATTTTATTCTGGAAGCCTCTCAGATTGTCTGGTGATAAAGGTTTCTCAACTACAGTGCTGCCTAAAAAGGTCCTTACTAATAAGATTTTTTATTGCAGGAAAGGTTCTAATAGATAAGAACCAGGGTAGTTTTCTTGTTTTTAGATTCTTGGTTTATGAATTCCGTTTTGAGAAGTTCTTCTATCTTGCAGGACCATCATTCAACCATGTGATGTGGTCCATAAGTCCACCAATCTTTCATGCAACTCCTCCTCTTGGGGAGAATCATTCACAATCATTCAGCATCTTAAGCACGGTCACTCCTACCAAAGCTCTTAGGTATCTTTATTCAGATACAAGCCCCGTTGATTCCTTTGCTCCCAGTTAATCAGTTTCATTATTTGGGATGGTATTTGGACCACTGGGCTGCAAACTTCTCATCACATAAAAGTTGCAATAGCAAAATAGCCATGAGTCTTATTTTTGGCCGATCGGAAGCAAAATACAAAATTCATTTTATGTTGCCATGTGGAACATTTGTGAAGTGAATTTGCCCCATTTTACGACTTTTCTTGTCACTGTAGTTAAGTAAATCACTGCAGTTTTTAAGTTAACATGATTGTTAAGTGAATCTGGCTTCCCCATTGACTTTGCTTGTCAGAAGGTTGCAAGAGCAGATCACAGGAGCACGAGACACTGCAACGGTCATAAATATGAACCAGTTGCCAAGCATCTGAATTTTGATCATGGGGATACTGCAATGGTCGTAAGTGTGAAAAATAGTCATAAGTCGCTTTTTTCAGTGGTGCTGTAACTTTGAACTGTCACTAAATGAACTGTTGTAAGTTGAGGACTACCTATATTCCTTGTCTTAGTTAAGGAGAGAGAGGGAGCAGCTTATAATCATTTCTTTGAGGTGATGACTAGGAAGACCCAGGTGCCAGTGAACCCTTCACAGGGAAAAAAATCCTGAGGGCCAGTCCCTCTTTTCAGATCTACTGATCTGACATGAAGTTTTTGCTGGGGAGGAAACCAAAATAAATGGAGAAAATATTATTTTCATCTCCTAAAATACTTATTTATCTACATAATTTGTATGCTGTCCATTCCCAAAGATACAAAATTATCATGAAATAAATAATAACCCCCAGATAAAAAGAAAGCCTCCAAATATAAACAAAAATTAGCACTGTTAAATATTGTAAACGGGGGAATACAAAATTATGTGTCTCCTGGAGTCTCATTTTTAGTCACAATTTACTTATAGATTTCTAAGTAAATAATATAATAGTAACTCGGGTTATAGATTATTTTGCCTCTAAAAATATTCAGAATTCAGATCATTCACTCAAACAGTGCAAATGTAGAAGTTAATGTTTGGGTTCAGAATTCATCTATAATTCTCTTGATCGATTGTTTTAAAAGGCAACATTCTACTTTTTGCTTACATTGTTTCTCATTGAGAAAACATAATCCATGCGGATGCTAGAAATGGAGCCATTTGCTTTCCCTCTTGATATGATGCACAATATTCAGGATATGAATATGTTGTTGATGAATAACAAACAGAGAGCATTTCCTTCTAGTATTTCACATACTTCGTGAGGTGAGGGTGGGGGGAAGGGTAGGAATACATTTAGCTGTCACTTAAACAAAAGCATCTTTTCATTTTGAAATCACTTCTTACAATACTTGCTCTGCTTTAAAAAAAAAGTTTGGCTGTTTTCCACAACATTCCCAACCTCTGTGGATAAAAAAAGTGGTTCCCATGGTTACACTTCTTTTGCAGGTTAAACAAGACGATGTGATAGAAATAGACCTATTGGTAAAGGATCGGCAAGTCCTGAGACATACAAACTACACCGTCCCTCTGGAGGAAAGTATGCTATATTCCAGCCCGAGGAACAATGATATTTTGTTTACACTTCCAAACTTTGCAGGAAAAGGTACTTAGTCTTGTTGAGTTGCAAGAATTGGACTTTGCTTTATTTATTCATTCAGTTTTTATATCCACCCATCTCATGTATGAGATTCTTATTATTTTTTCTTTAAAAAGATACTATTGAGTTTATTTCTTACCATTTTACTTAAGGGTTCTGGCTTTTTTAAAAGAATTCTTCATAAGAAGAGAGTCGATTAAATTCATTATTAATTGTATCTATTTCAGTGTTCATGGACTTTTTAAGTCATTAAACCTGAGTCAAGCAGTGATCAACAAGTTCTTACCTCAAATTTAATGATTCCACTACTAAAAAAAAAAAAGGTCACACTAAAAGCCATAAATTGCCCTTTCTTTTATACGCAGGTCATATTAATATGGTTACAACTGGCTTTGTTTTATTTGTATTCTCATAATATTCTTAGGAAAAATTAAAACATGGGCCAGATCTGTTTCTCTACTATCAAGTTTCAGATGTGTATGGACTTCAATTCCTAGGGCCGTGATGGCGAACCTATGGCACACATGCCACAGATGGTACACAGAGCCCACTCTGAGGGCACGTGAGCCATTGCCCAGGTCAACTTTACAGCACATGCATGCATGCCACCCGCTGGCCAGCTGATTTTTGGGTCTCTGCTGGAAGATGCGTGCGCATGTTCGCGGATGTGTGCATGTGTGCATACATGGAGGGTCACATGCGCATGCATGGGGGGGTCATGTGCACATGCATGGGGGCAGGGAAAGCATGGGGGCTACTGCGCTCCCCCTCCCCCCATGCTCCATTTTAGTGCTAGGAGGCTTCAGGGTTGGCCTTCGGAGCCCAGGGGAAACTGTTTTCACCCTCCAAGAGGTCTGAGGAAAGCCTCTGGAGCCTGGGGAGGGTGAAAACGCCCTTCCCCCCCCCCCCGGGCGTGGTGCAGGAGGCTGAGTAGGCCATGTGGTTGGGGGTTCATGGCACGCATGTGCAGGGAGCAGGGAACATTGCATTGCTCACGATTTTGGCATGTGAGGACAAAAAGGTTAGCCATCACTGTCCTACCGGAATTGTGATAATTGAAATCCACACATCTGAAAGTTGTTGAGGTTGAGACACCTCCTTGGACTAGATAATAGCACAATTGGCTCATTAATGCTTCCACTTTAGCTTGAGGGAAGCATCAAGCCAAGGGCCAGAGGGATCTGTCCTAGTTCCTGTGTTGTTCAACACTTTTGTCAATGACTTGAAACTGGGAGATTTGGTTAAAACTTTAGATGAAAGAAGATTAAAAAAAGATTTAGGCAGTAGGCCGAAATGAATAGAATGGAAATACGTAAAATTCTACATCTTGGTAGGAAAAATGTAAAGCCTTAGCATGGGATGGAGGAATCCTGGCTTAGCCTGTCTTGTGAAAGATTGCCTTGTCAATTGTTTGGGATACTTTAAGAAGAGCACCAATCCAGATCACAAGAAGTAATTGTTCCATTTCATTCCTCCCCGGTCAGAGCCCATTTGGAGTAGGGGGCAGCAGAATCCAAAAAGAACAAATTGGAACAAGTTCAAAGGAGGGCTTGCAAGATAGTGCTGGGTCTGAAAAGGATACCTTATGAGGAACAGTTAGCAAATCTGGATATGCTTAGCCTACAGAAGAGAAAATTGAGGGAGACGTGATAGTCTTCAATAAGAGTGACTGGATGTATTCGCTTAGTCTTTGTGCCACGGAGAGCAGACCAGAACCAAAGGGTTAAAACTACAAGGAAGTAGGTTCAGACTAGCTGTTAGGAGGAACATCTCCTCTACACAAGCTGTCAGCTAGTGCAACAGGCTGCCTCATAAAACAGTAAATTTTCTTCTGCCGGAGGATTTCAAACAATGGCTGGATGATTTCTATCAAGAGATTTTCTGATGGAACCCACACCAAGAAGGGGGTTGGAACAGATGACCAAAAATCTATACCAACTCCATAATTCTCTAAAAAGATTTAAATAGTTTTGCACTTTTGGACTTTTATTTCTTGTCCTTACTCTGCTTCTTTTTATTGGCTCACCATATGGTTTTTAAAATAACATACTAACCGATCAACCTGTCTTTTTGATTTTTGTAAAATAGATGTTGAAAGTCCTCTACAAACAACCAGTCACTATCTTCTCAGGCAAGTAGAAACTACTGTGGATGAACAGACAATGCCTGGCAAATTGCCAGAGACGCCACTCAGAACAGAGCCACAGTCATCTTATAAGGTATATATTTTTTTGTCACAATGATTGTGAAAGGTAAATATTATAGTTACCTAATTTGAGTTAAAGGATATGTAAGGGAATAGGGACACGCTGGCTCAGTGGCTAAGACGCTGAGCTTGTCGATCAGGACGTTGGCAGTTCAGCCATTCGAATCCCTAGCGCTGCGTAACCGAGTGAGCTCCTGTTACTTGTCCCAGCTTCTGCCAACCTAGCAGTTCGAAAGCACGTAAAAAATGCAAGTAGAAAAATATGGACCACTTTGTTGGGAAGGTAACAGTGTTAGGCATTTAGTCATGACCACAGAGACGTTTTCAGACAGCACTGGCTCTTCGGCTTTGAAATGGAGATGAGCACACACACACACACACACCGAGTCAGGAACGACTAGCACATATGTGCGAGGGGAACCTTTACCTTACCTTTAATTATTGGTGCCTCATGTATCTGGTATCTCCTCAGTCACTCTATCAAAAAAACTAAATCCAACAAAATAAAAAGGCATGGAAAGAAGGTGGTAACTAGAAGAGAGCTAAAAAAAGTCCAGATGGGGTTGCAACTGTGTGCTTGAAGTCTTCCTTTCTACATGCATATGGTACAGATACTAAGGAGTGCAGCTTCAATCATATAGACATGACCCTCATGTCCAGATTATGGCATCTCCCTCAATTCCCCCTTCACCTGATGCTCCCATGGGTATGTGTATGTCAGAGGTGGTATTCTACCGGTTCACCTGAACCAGTAGCTGAAATCGCGGATGGCCCCGCCCACTTGCTTCAGTTCTACGGCATCCCATTTAAGCCCAGATAACTGTAAGGCAGCTAATAGCCTCTTGGCTCAGCAGTACACTAGACTGGCTACTAGCCCAAACCCATTGCAGCATTGGGCCCTGATGGACTGGTGGCAAGTTCAGCTTCTCCTCTTTGCCCTAGAGATGCAAGGAGGGAGGGAGAGAGGGGGAGGCAGGCAGGCAGGTAGGCAGAGAGGGAGAAAGGGAGGGAGGCAGGCAGGCAGAGAAGGAGAGGGAGAATGGGAGGGAGGGAGGGAGATAGAGAGGGAGGGAGGGAGAGAGTGGGGGGGTGAAGTGTGTGTGTGTGAGAGAGAAAGAGAGCAAACTGCTCCATTGAGTTTGGTATTGTTGAAACAAAAGACCACAGAACTCATAAACCAGCCCCATTTCCCCTAGAATTATTTATTCCCTAGAAGCCATATAGAAAGTAAGCAATGTAGTTTACCAGGAAAAGTTATTTCAGCTTCAGGGACTTGGGTTTCTCTGTTTTCATGACATTATCCACAGCTAGGCATGTGTGAAAGGGGTATAAAGTCTGAGCTGGGTCAAACTTAACTTCAGAAGAGGAAACAGAAATAATAAAAATAAAAAAAAATGAAATTAGTGGCTTAGTTAAAAAGAAGTTGAACAAGGACACTAGGAGATTACTTCAAACAGTAGAAGATGTGGGAAAAGATGCCAAGGGGGGAAAGAGTTATGTTTGAAAAGAATATATATATATATATATATATATATATAT